TATAATTCTTAAATAATACTTAATTTTTCTATGTTCTTATATTCTACCCATTATTTCTTGTGTATACAAGTCCAGGTGGACAAATCTAAAGATGCTCAGCTGAACACTATTTTATTAATTTAGATACATGTTACTGTATTTTAGTAGTGCTTTGCTGCCTCATTTGCTTAAATGTCTGAGGATGCTACTTATAAATTGTATTCCCTTGAATAAGTTACCTAACCTCTTTGTGCCTGAGATTCATCATCTTGGGAGTAGAGATGATAATAATAATCTCAAAGAGTTGTTGTAAAGATCAACTAAGTTTATAAATATATGAAAGTACTTCAAAATTTTGTGGAAAAATTCCATTATCTTTTAATTCCAATTACCCATGAACTTTTTGAAGCCCCTTTTGTATACACAAAGGAATTAAAAACGAGGCTTGCCCACACTAAACTTTATGTAAACGATTGCTGCCAGTGTATCTTTAAAAAAACGTTATTATATGATGTTCACAATAATCTCGAAGAGAGGAAGTATTCTGAATCCTTATTATAGTGGAAGAAACTAATGCTTAGATTAACAAGTAACTTGTCAAAGGGCATAGAGCTAATGAGTAGCAAAGTTGTGGTTCAAATGACTATAGCCAGAGCCTGAACTCCTGACCACTAATACTAAACAGCCTATACTTTCATTCCAGTAGTGAACTCCTGACCACTAATGCTAAACAGCCTATACTTTCATGCCAGTAAGTAGTAGTAATAATTCAAGTGTTATTTATTTACCCCTAACCTAAGAAAATAATATTGTTATTATAAATATATAAATCTATGTTATTTTTGTTGTGTGATTATATAAAGATTCATGAATCTCAAACATTGTTCTCTACTTTAGTATATGATCTTCCCCAGCGGCCTAATGATATTCAGCTCTTTTATGGAAGCATGCGTAAAATTGTACTTTCAATGATTGGAGAATTCAGCGATTCTATTTCTAGCAGAGAGTTTCTTCAGCCTTCTTCCGAAGCTAGCTTGGAATCTAAAAGGTAACAAGCAAACAGTGTTTTAACAGATTTAAAGATTATTTAGAGAAGAGTTGATCTTTACTTCATTATTTTTTTGCCTCAAATGTTTACTTCTTTTTGTTTTTAATTTATTTAAGTTGGAATAATTTCAAACTTACAGAAAAGTTGAGAAATAGTACAAAAACCTCCCATGTATCCTACACTCAGATTTCCCAATGGGATAATCCTAACCACTAAGTTGGTGGTTTATACCCACCAGTTGCTCCTCAGAAACCGTATACAAGATCGCATTTAACAACAAACAACAAAAACATCTTACCACATTTTATTATTATTCTTTACTTTCAGTATTCTCAGTATTTTTACTGAGAATTGTTTTAAGAGTAAGTTGAGTCAGAACGACTCATTAGCCCTAAATATCCCTCATCTAGAAAATGTTCATTTCTGAAAAACACAGGTGCTTTCCTACATAGTCATGGTAAGACTGTCAAAACTAGCATGTTATATTATACAGTCCTATCTACTCCATTCATATTTCACCAGTTGTCCCAATAATGTCCTTCATAGTCAAGTCAAACAAGTAAACAAAAAAACTTCCTCTTTCTCCCTTCCTTTATGGTTCACATCTAATTCTGTTAGATCATGTGTTGCATTTAGTAAACTTGTTTCCTTGCCCTCTTTCAATGTATACAGTTCTTCAGTCTTTCCTTATCTTTTATAGCTGAAATAATACAATCCTGGTGTGGTGCTGTAGAATAAAGCACTGGACCAAAAGGTCAGTGATTGAAACTCACCATCCACTCCTTGGAAACCCTAAACAGGGTAGCTATGAGTTGGAACCAACTTGATGACACTTAACAACAACAGGGTCATCTTAACACATTCCTTCTAGTAGAGAATGGTATTTGAAATTAACATCTGGGCATGATGTTTATTCATTGCTGTTGCAATCTACATTTATGTCTGTCTATAAATATATTTAAGGAACTCTGGTTATGTCATGGTTACGAATTGGTCTGCTAACCTCAAGGTCGGCAGTTTGAAGCTGCCAGCTGTTCCACGGGAACAGCTTTGTGCTCCCATAAAGATTTATTTGCAGCCTCGGAAACCCTGTGAAGGGTCACTATGAGTCGGAACTGACTCCACGGTACTTAACAACAACAACATAAATATATTTAAAACTGTGTTTACGTTCATACTTCATTCAATTCTAATCTTTTACAGTTTGGTGTATTCCTTTCTGTCTTTATTCTCCAGTACAGAGTATCTGGCCACTGTATTCTCATTTTTTTATGTTTTTACTCAGTCGTCCTGTATATAATTAATCCTCCATACTTTGGGCTGCCTTCCTGGTAGCCCACTGATGCTAGTTAAAAGTTTGCTGCAAATCTCTGTGCCATGAACTGAGCTCTTGCTGATGACTCACACCTACCTACCACTACCATGGTGCCATCCTGCTATCTTTTCCCTCTAATTTTAGTGTTGATCATTTTCAAAGATATTCAGTTAGAAAAATATTAAAAATAGTAGTTATCCACACTAAAAATTATCTTGAAAAATCACTTCAGTTGTTAGGACCTAGTTCTTAGGATGTTAAAAACAACCAAGAATCAACTTTAAAAGAAAGGTGTTTCTGAGTCTTGCCTGGTGCCTCCATTATTGCTCTGGGGCAATTGAGATATGATTTGAAAAGGAGTGGTAAAGAGGGTAAGAAGAGTAAAGGGTACATATAGGGATTTCTTTCTCTACTCTCTGAGTGTCAACTTGAAATACAGATGGAGTTCTTCCCCTGTGTGGTAGGAGAATTTAGGAACTGCACGGTTAAATTTGAGTTAATGTATGTGCTGTAGTGAATTCAGAATTAAACTAGAAAATGCTTGGCTTTCATACTTAATACAGATTTTCCTAAATGTTATTGCTATGTCTTACTTTAGCATCATAACATAATTACCATCAATTACTCATATGCAAACTGAAACTGAAGCTAAAGAAAATGAAAACAAGTCCATGAGAGCTAAAATATAACCTTGAATATATCCCACCTGAATTTAGAGATCATCTCATGAACAGATTTGATACATTAAACACTAAAGACCAAAGACCAGAAGAGTTGTGGGATGACATCAAAAACATACATGAAGACAGCAAAAAGTCATTAAGAAAACAAGAAAGAAAAGGTCAAAATGGATGTCGGAAGAGACACTGAAACATGCTGTCCAGCGTAGAGATGCTAAAGCAAATGGATGAAATGAGGAGGTCCAAGACCTGAACAGAAAATGTCAAAGATCAGCTCAAGAAGATAAAACCAAATATTACAACAAAACTTGTGCAAAGATCTGGAATCAGAAAACCAATAAGGAAGAATATGCTCAGCATTTCTCAAGCTGGGGGAACTGAAGAAAAAATTCAAGCCTCGACTTTCGTTATTGAAGGATTCTCTGGGCAAATTTTTGAATGATGTGGAAGGCATCAAGAGAAGATGGAAGGAATACACAGAGTCACTGTACCAAAAGGAAATGGTTAATGTTCAACTGTTTCAAGAGGTAGCATATGATCAAGAGCCAATGATACTCAAGGAGGAAGTCCAAGGTGCATTGAAGGAATTGGCAAAGAACAAGGCACCAGGAATTGATGGGATAAAAATTGAAATCTTTCAAGAAAGTGAGACGGCACAGGAGGCACTCACTCATCTGTGCCAAGAAATTTGGAAGACAACTGTCTGGCTGACTGGAAGAGATCCAAATTTGTGCCCGTTGCAAAGAGAGGTGACCCAACAGAATGCGGAAATCATTGAACAATCTCTTTGATATCTCATGCTAGTAAAGTTTTGCTAAAGGTAATACAGAAACGGCTACAATCATACATTGATAGAGAACTTTCAGAGGCTCAAGCTGGATTCAGAAGAGGCTGTAGAAAGAGTGATATCATTGCTGATGTCTGATGGATCATAGCTGAAAGCAGAGACTGTGCTTTATTGACTTTGCAAAGGCTTTTCATTGTGTGGATCATGACAAGCTATGGACAACATTGTGAAGTATGAGTATTCTGGAACACTTAATTGTGCTCATGAAGAATCTGTACCTGGACCAAGAAGCAGTTGTTCAAACAGAACATGGGAACACTGAATAGTTTAAAATTTAAAAAAGTATGTGACAAGGTTGTATTCTTTCACCATACTTATTCATCCTGTATGTATGCTGAGCAAATAATCCGAGAAGTTGGGTTCTGTAAAGAAAAACATGACATCAGGATTGGAGGAAGATTCATTAACAACCTGCGATATGCAGATGATACAACCATGCTTGCTGAAAGTGAAGAAGACTTAAAACCATTTACTGATGAAGATCAAAGAGCACAGCCTTCGGTATGGGTTGCATCTCAATGTAAAGAAAACAAAAATTCTCACCACTGGACAAATAAACAACATTCTTATCAATGGAGAAAAGATTGAAGTTGTCAAGGACTTCATTCTTCTTGGATCAACTATCAACACTCATAGAAGCAGCAGTCAGGAAATCAAACGGTGTATTGCATTAGGCAAATCTGCTGCATAAGACCTTTTTAAAGTGTTGAAGAGCAAAGATGTCAGCTTAAGGACTAAGGTGCGCCTGACACAAGCCATGATATTTTCAATCACTTCATTCATGTGAAAACTGGACAGTGAATAAGGAAGACCGTAGAAGAAATGATGCTTCTGAGTTACGGTATTGGAGGAGAATATTGAAAGTGCCATGGGCTGCCAAAAGAACCAATAGATCTGTGCAACCAGAGTGCTCCGTGGAGGCCAGGATGGACAAATTTAATCTCTCCTACTTCAGACATATTATCAGGAGGGACCAGCTGCTGAAGAAGGATATCATGTTTGGTAAGGTGGAGGGACAGAGAAAAAGAGGAAACTCTCCCTGCTTGGCCTCTTCTCCCAGCAAACACTCCATCCACATCTATAACCTTTCTTCTGAAGCTTGGTGTCCCAGAATTTTCATTTGTGTCTGTTTTATTTTATCTCTTGTATCTTTGTTGTATCTTTGCGTAGTGGGTCTGTTTAGTATGCCATCTAGCCAGAAGTCCTCTTGAAAATCTTTTATAGAATGTTTGTTGCCATGCCAAAGTCAGGGCAGGAATGAAATCCAATCATTGGCTATTCTAATTAAATTTTAATATAATATTTGACCTATCTTGTACTATACTTTTATTCATTACGTTAAGTATATGCAATGCCAAGTATATTTAGTCACTGAAAAGTACATGTCATTATATTTTCAAATTTATGAAGAATTAATAGATAATATGACACAATTTTTAGCTTTTATCATTTTTAATTTCTTCTCTATATATTTTAAATTACTGAATACTTTTCTAGTGAAATTGGAACTTCTGGAAAACACAGTGGCAATATTTCTTTGGATATTTTACCAGTTAAAGGACCTCAAGGTTCCCCACTTCTTTTACAAGCTGTTCACCCACTTCAAGATAAATTAGCTCCTGAAGAAATATGGACTATCCAACCTGAACACTTGATTTTGACAACTTCTTCTTCATGTGAGTAGATCAAATAACAACATATCAGGTTTGCACTTTCTCTGGCACATCTGGGATATACACATGAATCTTAGACAAACTTTACTGGTGCTTTTGCTTTCTTTGGTATTCCTCTCACTTGTTAGTGACCTAACTCATTTGACTATAACATCTTGACTTGAACCCATATTCCTCAATTTAAGCTTCCCAAACTTTTAATATAGCTGAACCCCCATGCATGAGCCCTTCCTCTACCACATCCCCAAAGACCTCATTTGGCACTTGATCTTAACATGGAGGAAGAACAAATGTGTGTGCCAAAGACAGACAATTTGATAACATATTTCAGATTTCCTTTTTTCTCATCTCTGGTTAGTACTGCCAGTTTCTGTGCAGTTTCCAAGAGAGTAAAATAATGGACTTATTTTACCAAGAACTTTAAGTTCCTGAAATTGAACAATTATTGTTGTCGTTAAGCACCACCGAGTCAGTTCTGACTCATATTGACCCTGTATTAAAATTGCCAGGAGTGGCTGGTGAATTTGAACTGCTGACCTTGTGGTTCATATGGACCTTATGGTCCATAGTTTATCTCACAACACTACACCAGGACTACAGTTGAACCATTGAAAAAATAAAATTAGTCACTAGTGGTTTTATTTAGAATTTTTATTTGTCTTTTTCACTAATACTAAGTATAAATACTGTCTTATTTATCTGGTAGGTAACATGGCAAAAACCAGATATTTTCGGATTTTAAATCATTCTGTTAGTTCACTGAAATTTGAGTTATATTGGCCAGCACATTGCCTTACAGTAACACCTCAACATGGAGTTATTGAACCAGAGTAAGTATGATTTCCTTTTGTTTCCTACTGTATTTTATTCAAATGCTATCATCAGGACCTTTTAGGGATCACATTATGTGGCATTTAAATTATTCAGTAAATGTTATGCTATGCAAAACATGGTGCTTCCTTCTTGCTGATCGGCAGTGAGTTCAGGACTCCAGTCTTTTTGTTGTAGTTGTTATTGTTAGGTGCCATTGAGTCGGTACCGACTCATAGCAACCTTATGCACAGCATAACAAAACACTGCCCGATCCTGGGCCAACCTCACTGCTGTTGCCACGCTTGAGTCCATTGTTGCTGCCACTTGGTCAGTCCATCTCGTTGGGGGTCTTCCTCTCTTTCTGTGTCCCTCTACCTTACCAAACATGATATCCTTCTCCAGCGACTAGTCCCTCCTGACAATATGTCCGAAGTATGAGAGATGAGGTTTGGCCATCTTGGCCTCCAGGGAGCACTCTGGCTGCACAGATCTATTGGTTTTTTGGCAGCCCGTGGCACTTTCAATATTCTCCTCCAACACCATAACTCAAAAGCATCAATTCTTCTATGGTCTTCCTTATTCACTGTCCAGCTTTCGCATGCATATGAGGTTATTGAAAATACCATGGCTTGGGTCAGGCACACCTTAGTCCTCAACCTGACATCTTTGCTCTTCAACACTTTAAAGAGGTCTTGTGCAACAGATTTGCCTAATGCAATACGCCATTTGATTTCTTTACTGCTGCTTCTGTGAGTGTTGATAGTTGATCCAAGAAGAATGAAGTCCTTGACAACTTCAATCTTTTCTCCATTGATAAGAATGTTGTTTATTGGTCCAGTGGTGAAGATTTTTGTTTTCTTTACATTAAGATGTAATCCATACCAAAGGCAGTGCTCTTTGATCTTCATCAGTAAATGTTTTAAGTCCTCTTCACTTTCAGCAAGCAAACTTGTATCATCTGCATATCGCAGGTTGTTAATGAGTCTTCCTCCAATCATGATACCACATTTTTCTTCATAGAACCCAGCTTCTTGGATTATTTTCTCAGCATACATGCTGAATAAGTATGGTGAAAGAATACAACCTTGTCGCACACCTTTCTTAATTTTAAAACATTAAGTGTTCCCATGTTCTGTTTGAACAACTGCTTCTTGGTCCAGGTACAGATTCTTGGTCCAGGTACAGATTCTTCATGAGCACAATTAAGTGTTCCGGAATACTCATACTTGGCATTGTTGTTCATAGCATGTCATGATCCACACAATCAAAAGCCTTTGCATAGTCAATAAAGCAAGGTAAACATATTTCTGATGTTCTCTGTTTTGAATCAAGATCCATCAGACATCAGCAATGATATCCCTCGTTCACGGCCTCTTCTGAATCCGGATTGAACCTCTGGAAGTTCTCTGTCAATGTATGCTTGCAGCCATTTCTGTATTACCTTTAGTAAAACTTTACTAGCATAGGTTATCAAAGAGATTGTGTGATGATTTCCGCATTCCATTGGGTCTCCTCTCTTTGGAATGGGCACAAATATGGATCTCTTCCAATCAGTCGGCCAAATAGTTGTCTTCCAAATTTCTTGGCATAGATGAGTGAGTGCCTCCTGTGCCACCTCACTTTTTAAAAAGATTTCTGTTTTTATTCCATCAATTCCTGGTGCCTTATTCTTTGCCAATTCCTTCAGTGCACCTTAGGCTTCCTCCTTTAGTATTATTGGCTCTTGATCATATTTTCCCTCAGCTTAAAAAGTGTTGAGCATGTTCTTCCTTTTTGGTTTTCTGATTCCAGATCTTCACACATTTTGTTGTAATATTTGGCTTTATCTTCTCAAGCTGATCATTGAAATTTTCTTGTCAGTTCTTAGACCTCCTCATTTCCTCCATTTGCTGGAGAACATGTTCCAGTGTCCTTTTTGACATCCATTTTGACCTTTTCTTTCTTTCTTGTCTTCTTAATGACTTTTTGCTTTCTTCATTTGTTATGTTCTTGATGTCATCCCACAACTCTTCTGGTCTTCGGTCTTTAGTGTTTAATATATCAAATCTGTTCTTCTGATGATCTCTAAATTCAGGTGAAATATATTCAAGGTCATATTTTGGCTCTCATGACTTGTTTTCATTTTCTTCAGCTTCATTTTGAATTTGCATATGAGTAATTGATGGTCTGTTCCACCGTCTGTCCCTGGCCTTGTTTTGAGGGATGATATGGAGCTTTTCAATCATCTCTTTCTGCAAATGCAGTCAATTTGGTTTCTGTGTATTGCATCTGGTGAGGTCCATGTGTATATATAGTCATCTCGTATGCTGTCTAAAGAAGGTGTTTTAAATGAACAAATCATTGATTTTGCAGAATTCTATCATGCGTTCTCCAGCATCACTTCTATCACCAAGACCATATTTTCCAACTACTGATCCGTCTTCTTTGCTCCCAAAGTTTGCATTCCAATCACCAGTAATGATCAATACAACTTGGTTGCATGTTTGATCAAATTTCAGATTGAAAAAGTTGGTAGAATTCTTCTGTTTCATCTTCACTGGCTTTAGTGGTAGGTGCATAAATTTGAATAATAGTGGTATTAACTGGGCTTTTGTTGTTGTTCTTGTTGTTATGTGCTGTGAAGTCGGTTCCAAGTCATAGTGACCCTGTACAGGGTTTCCGAGGCTGTAAATCTTCACGGAAGCAGAAAGCCTCATCTTTCTCCCACGGCAAAGCTGGTAGTTTCAGACTGCTAACCTTAAGGTTTCCAGCCTGATTTGTAACCAGCACGCTACCAGAACTCCTTGGGCTTCCCTGTAGGCACATGGATATTATTCTATCACAGATAGTGTTGTACCTCATGACTAGTCTGGATATGTTCTTTTTGACAATGAAAACAACACCATTCCTTTTCAATTTGTCATTTCTGGCATAGTAAACCGTGTGGTCATCAGATTCAAAATAGCCAATACCAGTCCATTTCAGCTCACTAATGCCTAAGATATCGATGTTTATGTGTTCCATTTCATTTTCGACAACTTTCAGTTTTCCCAGATTCATACTTCGTACATTTCATGTTCTGGTTTTCAATGGATGTTTACAGCTGTTTCTCTTCATTTTGAGTTGTGCGCCATCAGCAAATGAAGGTCCCGCAGGCTTTTCTCCCACGTGCTTTACTCGATTCATGTCATCATGGTCAACTCTACTACTAGGAGGCAGCTCTTCCCCAGTCACATTTTGAGTGCCGTCCCAACTGCAGGGCTCATTTTCCCGCGCGATGTCTGACAGTGTTTCTCTGCTATTCATAACGTGTTCAGTGTCGAAATATTCGAAAGTAGTAAGTCACTCTTTCTTCCTAGTCTGTCTTCATCTGGAAGCTCATCTGAAACCTTTCCACCATGGGCAACCCTGCCGGTATTTAAAATACCAGTGGCTTAGCTTTCAGAATCACAGCAACTCACAAGCCACCATAGTACAACAAACTGACAGACGAGTGGTAGTGTCTTTTTGTAGAGGAGAGAAAATACCTATACAGCTGAATGGATAATCCCTTTTAGAAAGATCAGTGTGAGGCTGCGCCCTATGAGGTAGAGGTTAAAGTTATCCTAAATGTCTGACTTTTCCAACACATTATACCTCTCTATAATCCTTAATATCAGTCACCACTCCTCTCCTCCCTCACATCGCAGGTTTCTGGAATATGTTGCAACAGCTCATAGAACTCACAGTTGTCGAAGGAAATGACTCATGCTAGTGGAGGCTGCCAAATCCAAATCTGTAGTTCAGGTGTCAGTCCTGGAGGATTCTTCTTGCCCACATAGTCTCAGAAACTGAGGAACACAAATTGGTAGGTCTGACAATAGTCTGTTAATATATGAGGCTGCAGGAACTGGCAAATCAGGTCAGGTGATGGGCCTAGAGTTCCATGAACTATAAATCAGATTTGATGAGCCAGATAAAAGATCCAGAGCAAGAGAACATACTTTGCCAAAGCAATACTATAAATTGGAGCCTGATCATGCTCCCAAAGACAACTAAGGATGGTGACTTGAGTCACACACTCTTAACCCTTTGGGATCATCTTTACTCCTTAGTTTCACCTCAATCATTACTCTTTAACCCCACCTTAATCCTATCTCACTAACCACTCACTTAAAAATGGGTCCATAATCACAGGCATAGAGATTAGGATTTGCAGTACATCACAGATTGGAACAATATGGCTAAAAGGGCCATAATCACAATCAGCTGCCCTGTAGCAACTATTTGTGGTTAGACTAAAGTGGTGAAAAGTGCCACTGAGCTTAATCTCGAGGACATGTTCTCATGGAGTGAGGAAATCAGTGTTTTCTGAAGTGTTTCTTCAGAAAGGCTCCAAATTAGTAGCCCAAATTGAAGTAGAGGAGGCCCCTTGGTGGAGGTGCAAAAAAAAAAAAAAAATCAGAGAAGGCGTTTCCCCAGAGCAGCTCCAGAGCTTTGGATCTAATGTAAGGTAGGGGACATCAATTTCCCGCACGCACCAGTGGAGAAATCTGACTGTGGCGGGAATACATGACTATTTCTGAATCAATTGGATGCTGGCTGCAGGCCCTTTGACCTGGGCTGAGATCAGAGGGTGAAGCCACAGCCAGGCTGATACAGTAACAAAGCACTAAAAACCATGAAGTGACATCTGGAAAAAGAGGTGTAATGGATTTTTCACTTTCCTTTCCTCCTCTCCCTTGTCGCACCTTCTCTGCCTAGCCTGGACACCTTCAGGCAGGTGGGAGCACACCTCCAAAAGGCTCCAGCGTTATGCCCACAGTTTTACCACGGCACAAGGAGGAAATCCCTGGGAGACCCAATGGTTCCACAAGCTAATCCTTTGGCTGCTTCTTATGACATCTGACTCTGGGACTCAGCCCTAAAGTTGACCTGGGCAGGACCCTTTATTCCTGCCTTAATGAACAAGAGGCAGCAGGTCTGGCCATATGGCCAAACCATTTATGTACCTTGTAAAACTCCAGCATAAAAAGCAAGAGCAACACCAACTACTATA